AATCTTAAATTAAAAATTTCAAAGAAATGTGACTGTCAAGGAAACCGTTCGCTGAGCCGAACCTTTTACCTAGGGGTGTTTCAAGATCAAAAGTTAATCGGGGATAACGGTCCTTGCTTGTTTTAGAGACGACCAGCTTCCGTCATGCTGTAACACCCATGGTAAATTGTTCGACACAACCCGCCGCTTCCAATCAATTATACGGAAAATGTGATTTAAAACTTCGGCATCATAAACGTTATAAAATTTCAGACTCATAAATGGTGTCGATTTTGAGACCCGTTTCGATGTGTGTAGAACGACCATCGCCCCAATAAGTGCTCCGTTTAGTCAATTTCACGTTACGAAACACGCCTCCCTAAATACCATACTTGACAGCGTCCAGAACTGCAACTATATGACTGCGAGGGAATTTAACAAGGTTAGCGTGCGATCGATAAAAATCGTCGCTTAGTAAGTTTTGGCGCTCGACGATCAACGTGTTTTCTCATTGTCTTATTTAAGTTGTGTTCCTTCCGTTCCTTTAACTACATAGATTCGTTGAGTTTCTTATGCATGGAAAGTTAGTTAAGAAATTTAAGAATTTCTGCTCTTCTTACAGAAAAAAATCCTTCTATTTAGTATACGTAAGCATGAGAAAACATCTTTTGTTTTTATTATGTTTTGTGCTTAGTGTAAAGAAACATCTATGATACATAATTTATAAGAAAAAACATTTGTTAAATATTCTTTCATTGGACCGTGCTCTTATTTCGAGTACTAAATGAGTTCTAAATTGAAAAAAAGGAATTTGGAGTCGTTTTCCTATTGCTTATAAAATTAGTAAATATGTACAGGGTGTTTATTTTATCTGTTTACACCCAAATATTTCTGCACAGGCAACCCATTTTACGTATCATAAACAGCTTTGATTCATTTATATTTTTAAATAATAATTAATGAACGCATAGATAGCAATGATCAGAATCAAAATTATGACAAATTATTTCTGTCGGCCGAAAATTTTCGATTTTCGTTTGCTTTAAAATGTTTTCGAATTGTGAAAAAACAGACGTGCCATTAATATTGAGAAAGTGTGACAACAATTTTGATGCTGCTCTTCGTCTCTACGCCAGGCAATATCCCAATAGAAAAAGTCCCTCAAATCAAGTGTTTTGAAAACTTGAAAAAAATTTACGACAATTTGGGCAATTAAAAAAAAAAGTTAGAAACTGAACTGTAACAACTCCGGATAATGAAGCTGCTGTAATTGAAATTGCAGCAGAAAATCCCCACGTGAGTCAAAGACAGATTGCAAGACAAATGGAGATAAGTTTGGGTTCGGTTTTCAATATCTTAAAGGCAAACCGATTTCACCCATTTCCATGTGACAATTGTCTAACATTTAATAGAACACGATTTTATCCGACGGTTAGTGTTTTACGAATTCATGAGGGCTTACTTACGATTTTTACTTCCCGAGCGTAAGCAAGTCCGTCGGCCGACTCTCTACTTTTACATTTTCTCCACCTTTCATCTCACCCTTAGAAGACGAAAAAATAGGTATCCCGTTTCCGTCTATCTGTCCGTCTGTCCGTCTGTCGGTCTGTCCGTCCAGACAGATAGTCTCCGAAACTACTGGACCGATTGTTGTGAAATTTTGTATTTTTATTAGAAATATCATGTAGATGGTACAACGCTGATCAAAATTTATCTAAGCATCCCCACCACTAATGTGATGACGTCATTTCAAAATTGTACACAGTAAGTGGGTTTTAAATTGTATAAAGTAACATAGTTCTACACATGTAGTTTATGACTCCGAATTGAGTTTTTACCCGAAACGTCCAAATTGAAAAAAAAAATCAAAATTATGAAACAACATTTTGCAATTTAATTGCGAATTTGAAAAACCGAAGGCTTTGAAATCTTGCAGATGATTTACAGTTATGATATACAGGGTGTTATTGAAATACATGGAAACAAAAAATCTGGTGAATGTAGGGAACGTCAAATGAACGTTTGTTGTTTTAGTAAAATTTTGAAAAGAAAATTTAACCCCTATCCAAACATTCATTCCTCCACTGATAAATAATGGTTTCACGAAAAAATGTGAAACCTAGTAACTGAAAACTGCCGAGGTGTAACTACTGTTGCTATTAATTTATTGCTAGCAACAAATAAACAATGACAATAATTAATGAACTGACAATTAAAACTTCAAAATCATAATTTAATCAACCATAAAATGAAACAAAACGTAAGGTATGCAACTAGAGCAAGTTTTCAAAATGTCCACCACCATTTCGTATACACGCTTCCGCACGTCTAATCAATGATTGTTGCCTTGTTCATGTAGAGTTCTCCACACCACAAAAGGTGAAACTCCGACTCGGTAAGACGATCGTCTAATGCTTATACCTGGATCGTTTTCAACGACATTCAAAATTTCTTCTTCGGCATCAAGTGTCCGTTCTGTCCTTTCACGACCACGATCACTAAAACGAGGTTGAAATTTCCCATTTTCTCGTAGACGCTGAACAACGTTAGCAAATGTTTTATGATTTGGCAATCTTCGTTCGGGAAATGCTTCTTGGTATAAACGTCGAGCTTCCAAGGAGTTTCTTAAGGCTTGTCCATACATCAGAACCATGTCAGTCATTTCAGAATTAGAAAAATTCATTTTGCTCTTCCAAAAAATTGCAAAAACGTCAAAAAATGATGGGCTAATGAATGTATTGTCATGTTAACAAGCAACAATTTTACCTACTTTAAATTACTATAGTGATCAAATTTACCTTTAACATTTTTGGAATCAGTAGCGCACACGCAAATTTTAACAGATTTTCAATCAATTTTATCTCGAAAACTAAAGGATTTTTATTAGATCAATATTTGATGCATAAATTCTCTACATCATGACCAATTATCTTAAAAAAAGTTTCCATCTATTTCAAAAATACCCTGTATATATATAATCAATAAACCTCTTGTACCTTTCGGTGTCGAGGTAACAAAAATTTCAATAATTCTTAAGAAATTTCAACTAATTAACAATTCAGAAATACTAATTACAGTGTTGAAACGTATTATTTTATATCCCTGATAAAACTTTTCCACTCTGTTCTGTCCCTGCACCGTACTGATGCTTGTTGCCAGGATGTGTTATTCCTTACCAGAATCCTACTTATGGTACCGTTCCAATCTGCTCTGGGTCTCCCTACACGCCTCTTTCCTGTTCCTCTTGCTTCCCAGATTTTCTTTACCTGCCTATTTTCACCCATCCTGTTCAGATGCCCAAACCAGCGTAGTTGGGACTGTTCAATAATTCTAATAGCACTATTAACATTTAGCTCCTGTCTTATTGTTTCATTCCTAATCTTGTCTAGTCGAGTTTTTCCTGCGATTCTTCTTAGGAATTTCATTTCTGCCGCCTGTATCTTACTTTTTTGCTTTTCACTTAAGATCCAGGTTTCACTGCCGTAGAGGAGAGTAGGCAAGTATATGAACTTATAAACAGCGAGTTTTGTTTTTCGACTGACTTCTCTCTTGTTAATGAAACCATTCTTAAGACTCATGTAGACTCCCGCTGCTGCCGATATTCTCGCATTAATTTCTCTATCCAGTTTTCCATTTGAATCAATTATGGTACCCAAGTATTTAAATTCTGTTACCTGCTGGATTCTCGAGCTCCCTAAACGTATGTTTATTTGCTTATTTTCTCTAGCCACAACCATGGCTTTGGTTTTGTCTTTATTAATTGCCATTTTCGATTTTTCTAAGACCTCATTCCATTTGTTTAAGGAGTTTTGGAGTTGCTTTTCTGAACTAGCTATTAAGGTGATGTCATCTGCAAAAGTACAATTTCCGATTTGCTGTCTTTGTAGATGTTTATACCCGACTGTGGTTTTGTTGGTTTCTTCTTCGTATTTGCAGATGATTTCGTTCATGAAGATGATGAATAGTAGTGGGCTTAGCACTCCTCCTTGTCTAACACCCTTTGTAGTTGCAAATCTAGTTGATTTCATATTGTGGGCCCTAAATATATTCCAATTGTTTCTGTATAACGATTTTATGGCTTCTAATAAGTTGTTGTCGGTGTTATGTTTTTCTAGAGCCCTCCATATAAGATTTCTTGGGACTTTGTCAAATGCCTTTTGTAGGTCAATAAAGCATAGGTAAAGTTCTTTGTCATACTTCCTATATTTCTCCATGTATTGTCCGATCGTGAATATATGATCTTGAACGCTGTGGCCCGGCCTAAAACCGCTTTGTGCATCGTTCAGTAAATCTTCTACTGTTGATCTCAGCCTTATTTCCAAAATTCTTTCGTATATTTTTGCTGCCACGCTTAATAATGAAATCCCTCTATAATTTCCGCATTCTTTATAATTTCCTTTCTTATGTACTGGTATGATCGCTGCAGTTGACCAATCTTCGGGGACTGTCCTTGATCTCCATGCTCTTTGTAGTTTCTTGTGTAGATATTTAGTGCCAGTTCTGCCCATATATTTGATCATCTCTGGTTTGATCATGTCAATACCTGCTGCTTTGCCGTTTTTCAATGATTTAATTGCCGATGTTACTTCGTCTATGTGGATGTCGTTTTCTGTGATCTCAGCTCTAGGTTCTGATACCGTTGTGCCATCGTTGTTTGATGCTTCCTGATTATTTTCTGTTCTTTCGAGCAATTCGGTGAAGTACTCCTTCCATCTGTTGAGAATTTCCGTGGGGTTGTTGAGAATCTGTCCTTCTTTGTTAATGATTTGACTCATTGATTTGTTTTCTTCTTATCTCAATCGCTTTAGGTTCGCATAGAAAAGTTTTTGGTTACTTTTTCTGTTCTCCTCCATTTTTTCCCCAAATTCTTCCCACTCGTTTGCTTTTTCTTTTTTAATTGTGATTTTGGCAATGATTCTGTACGTTTTATATTCCTCATATGCTTCTATAGTCCCTAATTGGTGGTACTTTTTCCAAGCATCTTTCTTTTTCTTTACTGCTTCTTGTGTTTTTTTGTTCCACTAGTGGGTCTTTTTCTTCCTTCCCCCTGTTCTCACGGTTCCGCAAACTGACTGTGCCGCTTTATGTAGTATCCCTTTGTAGCAGCCCCACATTTGTTCTAGGTCGTAATCACTATCTCTATTTTCCAAATCTATTATCATTGTGTTTATCTGCCTCTGGTACTCTCGTCTTACTTCTACTTCAGCTAGTTTATATACTTTCGTGCTTTTCTTTGCTTTCTTGGAAGTTCTAATCATTCTTGGCTCTTCCTGGATTCCTAACTTCGCTATTACTAGGTAGTGGTCCGAACCGAGTTCAGCATTTCTATTTACTTTTACATCTTTTATTAATTTTCTGTGCTTTTTTTCTATTAGTACATAATCGATGATTGATTTTTCGTTCCTACTTTTAACTTCTCTTGTATATTTGTGTTCATCTTTGTGTTCGAAAAAAGAGTTTGATATTATGAAACTGTTGTTTATAGCAAATTCAATTAGTCTCTCACCGTTTGTATTCTTTGTTACTTCCCCAAATCTGCCCAGCGAGCCTTCTGTTCCTTCTGTAATATTTCCAACTCTTCCATTTAGGTCGCCCAATATTATGACAGGATATTTTGCCTCGTCGCAGACACTTTGGACGTCTTCCCAAAATGAATCTTTTTCGTGTTTCGGATCATTCTCGTTAGGACCATATAAAATAATAAGACTGTATTTTCGATCTTTGTTTATTTCCAGTGTTAATGACATAATTCTATCAGATATTCCAGACCAATCTAAAACATTTTTGTTTCTAAATTGTTTTTGATTATACAACTCACCCCCGCTTGTGCTCTTAAGTTTTCTTCCACCCCTGAGTATAGTATGACTTCTTCACCGAGTGTGAGTTCACCTTTCCCCTTTTGTTTTGTTTCGGTCAGCGCAATGAGTGTGACATTCGCCTTGCGAAATTCGTCCACCAGTTCTTATTCTTTCTCAGATAGAGTTCTAATATTCCAGGTTCCTACTCTTATATACGTTTTCTTGCTATTCCCTGAATTAATCATTGCCAGATTCTTTGCCAAGTTCGTCGTCATTTTCTCCGTTTTCTTAGATGCTTTCGGTTTTATGTCTTGGTATTCCTCTTTATTATTTTCTCCGTTTTGCCATCCCAGTCCCATATCTGCTTGTCTACGATCAGTTTCTGATATCCTACTTTGACATTTTTTCCTTGGTCTCTTTCGTTTTTTGCCAGCTTCCTTAGGTTGGCTTTTACTCTATTTTCTTCTTTGGTTAAATCATTATCAATAAACACCTTGGTTCCTTTGAGCTTGGATTTGGCTTGCATAATGTTTTGCTTATCCTCCCAGCTTCCCAGTTTCGCAACAATTATATCCTTTCCTAGTGTTGTTTTTATCTTGGTTGCTTCTATGATTTTAGCTTGGACTTGAATTGTACTTTGTAGGAATTCAGCTACTCCTTGTTTTAGTGGATCGTTCTGCATATCTGCGCCCTTGATTACTATATTGTTTTTCTTTTCCAATTTTTCTACCCTCATAAGTCTGGTTTCTAAGAGCTCGATACGTGTTATCATTTTCCGGTTTTCCTCTTTCAATTGTTTTATTTCGGAAATGTAAGTTGTTTGGTCTTTCCTTATTTGTTCAACTATCCCAATCAGTTGATTTAGTAATTTCGTGTTTCCCTCGATTCCCGCCATATCTACTTTACTTGCTTCCTTTTTTGCTTGTTGTTTGGGTGATGTTTTGTGTGCTTTTTTAGACTTCTTGGAGAGCACCTTATGAAATTCGTCTTCCCTTTTCCGTTTACCGTCGTCTGTTAGTGACCCTTCAGTATCCGACATTGGTTATTTTCGACAAACCTTCTCGAGCGGAAAGGCCTTCCCGCCACTTCAACAGTTCGGAGCAGTACGACCTTATCTCGGAGGGTTTTTTCTTCCTGCTTACTCTTCTTGGTTTTTCTTCAGTACTTCTTGTGTACTTTACTTCACACTTTGACTTCACTTACTTGAATTTTATTACCGTTATTACTCGATTAATCGACTTAATAACGGGATCGATGTTGATTTCATGTTATGATAAGCATGATAAATTTTTATTCAAAATATATTTACCTGGCCCCTCCAAAAAATTGATGACGTCACCTCAATTTTTTTTTTATAAATCGTTTTCGTTGTAGTCTGATCCATCAATAAATTTAGTATTAATTTTTTCATTTTTGTCATTATTTGGCATGACAGCTTTGTCATTTTTCTTTCCATGTTTGTTATGATTACTTATTAAAAAAAATTAAATTGGACGAAGACAGATAAAATGAACACCCTGTATACATGCCCTAGCTGTTGATTGCGACAATATTCTAACACACTTGAATAATGAACACAGACAGTTATTCATTCTGCAAATAAATTCAGTTTTACAAAAATCTCTCTATCATCCCAATAAAATTTTTAATTCCTATAAGTAATTTACTGAACTTAGGTTAATCAAATCAAAAACTACAATCTAGTGGTATCTAAAGCTGACAAAGGCAATTATGTCATAACACCTAATAAATATGACTACATTTCTAAATAATGGCACTTTTAATAAATTCATTCGGGATCCTACGTCCATTTTTCGCTCCACCTTAGAAGATACGTCCAACACTCTCAATTACTTTAAAGTAGATACATAAATCTCACTTCATTTCCCTGACTCCTTCCATTCCCTGCTTGTATAGTTTTCCTAAAATCCATAAACTTGATTGTCCCATTAAATCAGTAGATTCTTTCCTATACTCCCCTTGTTACCATCTTACAAAACAGTTGAATGTAACTTTAAGAAGAGTAATCCACTATGGTAACAAATATGCCAGCAAGAACAATTTCGACCTAGTTGAAAAATTAGAATAAGTATACATCTCTGGAGATTCATTCCTAGTCTCTTTTGACCTTCTAATCTCTTTCTTTTTGTTTCTCCTTCTGATTCTCTTAAATTAATCAGTAATCTTATATTCGAATCGTCCCTACCTCTTGCACACATCCACTTTAGTTAAATTAGCTTTAAAACAACATTTATTAATTTTCAATAATTCTTTTTACGAACAAGATGTTGGTAGCTATGGGATCAACCTTGTTTTCTTTTTTAACAGAAATTTTCATGAATAGGATAGAAACAAAAATTTTTTCCAATTCTTTTTTTGATAATAAAATTAAATTTTCTATTCTATTTCAAGGTTTTCGCAATGATCTCAAATCTTTGTTCGAGTTCATCAGTTCGGTCCATCCCTCAAATCAAATTCACTTACGAAACTGTACAGAATGGTTCTATCCTTCTGGATATATTCCTTCTAATCAATCCTTTTTTTTTATTTACAAAAAACCAACCACCATTGACACCATTATACCTTGGTCTTCTTTTCATCCCTGAAATCATAAGTTGGCAATTTTTAATTCTCTGTTCCATAGATTACTCCATATTTACCTAAACCATTAGGCATTTGAAAGAGAACTAGCCAACTTTCGACAAATAGCGGTTAATAACTCAATATCCCCTTCGTTTAATCACAACAATTTTTCACAAAGCCCTCCATAGATATAAACTATGCCTTAACTTCATTCCTCATCCGAGTTCTACTCTACTTCCTTTTTTACCATCCCTTTTCTTCTTCGTCTCCTCCTGTATATCCATTGCCAACATTCTCAAGACACTAGATTACAACGTCTCTTTCAATTCTGGTTGCACATTATACAAGCATACTCTTTCGCGTCACTTTGTCCTTTTCTTCGAGTTATTCTCTTTAGTTTTACCTTTGGTGAATGGTCATGTAATTTCATTTTTATTTATGGAGCTAATGAAGGTCACTTTTTATGTAGTTTCTTTAGTATTTTGAGCTTGGAATTTTTCTTCTAGATGGCTCTTAAGTGTTGTCGAAGTTAAAATTTCGCTTCTCTCAGCTTTCTTTTTTTATCTCTATTTGTTTTTTGGTAAAGCTTGGAACGCTCGAAATTATTTCCAAAACCATTGTATCTGTTTTGGAAGCTGGAGACAGAGAATACGAGTATGTTGATTTTCGAGCCTTTGGAGAAGAATACGGGGTCTTATGGTGGACTGTTGCAAAAGTCTGCAATTAAAACATTTGTTAATGTCCCGACGAGTCGCCTATTGCACAAAATCGAGCATTTTGGAGTCAGAGGTGGATTACTTAAGTGGATAGAAGGCTTTTTATCGTTTCGAACATTTAGAGTAAAAATTGATAGTATTAGTAATTCACACAAAGTCCTAAGTGGGGGTTTCACAAGGTACAGTTTTAGGTCCTTTATTATTCATAGTTTATATCACCAAACTTATCGTTGAACTTTCCAGTCTTTTCACACTGTTCACTGACGACTTAAAATTGTATAACACCTCGAAGAATAATAATGTTTTAAAGGCGGATTTAGTAACACTTTATGCATGGACGCAAAAATGCCGTATGTCTTTCAATATGAAAAAATGTTGTGTACTTCATCTAGGCAGCAACAATCTCAAAATGCAATATAATTTTGGTGGCCACGTTTTGTAGTGTGTATCGTTGCAAATTAACTTGGGCGTCACCATTACAGAAGATTTGTCTAGCATCCAATCTTTGTTAGGGACAAACAACTGGAGTCCGTTCAACGTCGCATTACCCGTATTTCTTTTGGTTCTCATCGTCCTAGTTATGAAGAAGATAATTAAATTACCTACAATTGAACACCGTAAAGTTAGAGGAGATGTCATCACGGCCTTTAAAATATTATCACAACTCGATTCATCTATTCGTTATCTTTTTCAACATCTGTTGATCTAAGAACACGATGGCATCGACGGAAACTACGTAAATGTGCTTTCAAAACAAGAATAAGGCAATTGTTCCTACCGGAACGGGTTTTCGGTATTTGAAACTCCATATCTCTAAGGATAATCGAAAGTCCTTCTTTAATCAGTTTCAAGATAGCATTAGATACCTGGTTCGCCGGTCATAACAAATGATAATACATAGCTTGTATATAGGGTGCCGCATCCAAGTCTGGATATAGGGAATTAACATGGAAATTGGTTTTTATTTTATAATATCTTCCCAGATCACTTTAAAGCTAGTATTGGGTGATGCCTTTGTGGAGGTCGAAGAGCGCTATCGGCCGGTATTTTTTTCAAATCGTTGCATCGCGCTCATTCACTGTAGAAAGGTTTTAAAAATCGTATTTTGAAATTCGCGCCCGAGCCGATTTGTCGCGAAATGTTCCGTCGCACTGTTGAAGTTTGGCGATCGCGTCTTTGGATTAATCATGCAAAATCCAAATGTCAAAGTGAAATTAGAAATTATTCTCAGAAATCAACGAACCACTCAAACTGAATTATTTTAACCAGTGTGATGATTATTGTAGGACAAATTAACGGAATAAATGCACAAATTGATCCATTCATTCGTCATAGTGCGCGACCCCGTCAAACGAGCCATCTCGAACTACACTCAGGCCGTATCCAAAAAGCCCGAGATGAAGACTTCGAGCAGCTGGTCTTCCTCAAAACCCCATCGGCAGCATTGTGACATGTCCTGGGAGCCCGTCAAGCTAGGAATTTATTCGCGCTGCCTCACTCAGTAACCACTGAACGACTCAAATTGAATTATTTATATACTATAAAGACTGCTGTCAGCAGCTGTACAGGAAGTAAGCCGATCTTCAAAACTCCTACGCGTGTTGATCAGCATTTGAGTTGAAATCTGAAGACAATATTGCTGGATTGCTT